GCGTTGGGTGCCGCTGGGGCCTGCCCCGTCGCCGCTGCCGCCGCTGACGTCGCCGACTCGGCCGCTGGGATCGCCGCCTCCGGAGCCGCCGCCATCGCCCGGCTGCCGCCCTCGCTCGCCCGCCACCGTCGACGCATGCCCAGGCGGCGCGAGCCGGGCGTGGTAGGCGGCAAACTTGGCGTCCTTGAGCTGCTGCAGCTGCGCCGGGCTCAGGCGCTCGACGCTCCGCCTCGCGTCCTTGGCAGCCTGCCGCCTCGCGGCCGCGGGCGTGCTGTGGTCGGGGTCGTCCTCGTTGAGCTCGGAGAGGAGCGTGTTGACGACGGCCTTGCGATCCACCTGGCGCTGCGCCGAGTCGCGCAACTTGCCAGACGGCGTGCGCTCAGACGAGCCCGTGGCCGCCGCTTCCTGCGATGACTGCCGCCCGCCGCCGTGGTAGTCGCCCGTTTGTCTCGCCATCACCTGGTGCAAGTTCTCGACCGTCTCGTCCGCCGCGACGCGGGCGTAGGGGGTGTCGCTCCGCAAAAAGTAGTGCACGTGCGCCACCACGATCGACGACATGCTGATCAAGTACGGCGTCGACTTGTTGAAGACGGCGAGACAAAGCAGCCGGAGGCAGGTCGCGTCCTTGCCGACCCGCTTTGCTCCTTTGGATACCGTCTCAAAGTTGTGGTCGTGGAAGACTGGGATGATGCGAGCCAGGTAGTCCCAGCAGCGTGCGATGCTCCGCAGGGCGGCGGCGTGGGCGTAGCCCTCCTGCCCAAAGGCTGCGCCATCTCCGTCGCGGCGAAAGAGCTCGGGCCATCGCTTCAGCATCGTTCTGGCCGCGTCTGACATGTTGATGGCAATCACCGGGCCCGTCTCGAGCGGGATGTAGTTCACGTACGAGAGCTTGAATATCTTCTTCAGGTGCTCTGCAAAGTCTGCGAGCGCGCCGAGCTTGGCGAGCGCGCCGCACGTCCAGTCCCACATCTGCGGGCGCGGAGCGGACGAGGAGGGCCGGTGAGCTGCGCAGGCGCGGTGCCGAGGGGGAGGGGGGGCGAGGCTCGACACGAGGCGGCGAGCTCACCTTGCCGACGGGTGCGAGGAGCAGGTGGAGCGAGGCGCGGAGGTAGTGGAAGGTGTCCATGCGGAAGAGGTTGACCCCGCAGATGCCGCCGTACTCGGCGGTGGCTTTGGAGCGGCGGTCCTCCGGAGAGCGGTCCGCCTGCAGGCTCTCGACCTTCTCCTGCAGCGCCAGCGTTATGGAGAAGGGCGCGAAGACTGACACGTCGCGCAATGTGTCCTTCTGAGCCGTTGACCAGTAGGCCGGGTAGTTCGACGTGTAGCTCGATGTGTTCAGCGCCGTGATGAGGGCGGCGCCGTCGAGCGCGACCCAAACCTGGTTTGGCAGCAACGTCGGACCGTGCGGGTCGGGCGTCATGGTGTCGGCCAGCACGTGCAGGAACTTGACTGAGGCGTCAAAGTGTGTGGAGAGCGTCGGCGCGTCGTCCGGCTTGTCGTTCGACTCGATGTATGTAAGGAGCCAGGCCATCACGACCGAGCCGGCGAGGAGCGGCACGGAGGCGGAGCGGATGATGAGCGGGGTGTGGTGTGTGCGCTTCGCAGTCTTCACTGCGTCAAAGGTGGCCGTCCAAAGGAAGACTCCGAGGGGGAACTCGGGCGACGTTGCCAGCGATGGCAGGAAGAGCTTCCACAGCGGGCGCGCCCGCCGCCGCTCGAGCAGCTTCACCCCGTCGAAGCGAGCACTGACCGTCGCGGCCTCGGTGAGCGGCGGGAGCAGGTGCAAGCGCCCCTTGAGCTCGTCGTAGGCGTGGCGCGTCTGGTCCGCGTTGACGCTGAGGCGCTCGTCGGCTTGCAGGCCAAGAGCCCTTGCCACCGGAGCTAAGGCGCGGCGCACGACCCCGTCGAGCCGCTCGTCCGAGATGTTGAGCGTGAGCTTGAGGAGCAGTGTGGCGTCGGTGGCGGCTGTGCGGAGGGCGTCTCTCCGTGCTGCCACCTCGATGGTCTTGATGCGCGCGGCGACCGCCTCGTTCTTGAGCACCCTGCACAGAACAGGCCACCTCCGGAGCACGAGGTGCGTCCAGAGCGCCAGCTCATCCGGGGAGGCCGGCGGGGGGAGCTGGGCCGCCGCCGCCGCCGCCGCGTCGGGCAGCGCAGGCAGCGCTGGGGTCGACCCGCCCGTCTTTGGGTCGGAGAGGGCGAGGAGGAGGTCCGCCACCAGGTCACTGCGGCGGTTCAGCTCCCGCTCTTCCTTCGACCCGTGGGTCGAGAGGAGGACGGAGGCGGCCTTGTCGTGCAAGGCCTTCGACTGCCCACCGCCGCCGGGCAAGTCGAGGGTGGTGAGGAGGGTGCGGCGCAGTGCCTCGTGCGTCGTCTCGCCGAGCACCGCCACGAGCTGCTTGAGCGCCCTCGCCGGCGGCCCAAAGCTGCCTCCGAGCAGCAGGTGAGCAAACTGCTCAAATGGGTGCGACTTGACGCGCAGCGCCGAGTGCTCCGCGAGAGAGAGGACCACCTCCTTGTCCGTCGGTAGGTGCGCCTTGCGCATCGAGTTGACCACCCACGTAAAGAGCTGATCGAAGGTGACAACTGGCTGCATCGCTGGCGGCTTGTTCGACGGCCACGCCACCGTTGCCATCAGTTGGGAGTCCTCAGGCACTCCCTTCGTCGCCAGCCTCTCCCTTGCATGAGGCAGCCTCTCTCGCACGAGCGACGTGCCGTAGACCGCCTCTGCCACTTCTGCCACCGCAAACACAGCCTCGCTCGGCTGCGCCTGCAAGTTGGTGACGGATTGGATGTTGGAAGGGAAGTGCACGTGTAGCGACGCGTCGTTGCCGTCGAAAGCAGTGATGGGAAGAGTCGCCATGACGGCGTGCAGCGCCTGTGAATACTAATAGCCAACTGGGAACAGCATCTCACTTCGCGCGGCTCTCCGCAAGTGGTCACAAGTGGTTCTCGATGGATGATACGCCGAGGCACCGCGGCCCGACGGCTCTCGCGCGCGGCCTGGCAGCCCTCGAGACGGCCGACCTCACCGGCGGCGACACGGCCGAGCCGGCGACCGTGGCGCGAGGCTCGCGTCGCCGAACGAGAGTCGACGGTCCTGGCAGAGGCAGAGGGCGTCGTCCCCAGCGAGTCGACCCGAATCGACGGCTGTTCACGATGGCCGACTCGAACGGCTACCAGCAGCACATCGTGAAGGTCGCCGTGCTGCTGCATGACGACCCGGAGCACAAGCTCCGGTACTGCGCTGCCCACCCGCCGGCGCCCGACACGAAGCTGCAGCTGGTGGCCGGCGCGAGCGCGTGCTCAGCGCAGGCGTGCGAGTGCAGGCTGGACTACCTGAAGCTCGCCGCCGCCGCTGGGCTCTCCGCGCGTGAGGAGGTGAGGCCAGTGCCCCGCAGGCTGCCCACACACCATGCCGCACTCGCACACACACAATGAGCTATAGGCGCGCAGGCTGGTCCAAAAATGCCGCACGACGCTGAAGACGGAGGCGGCGGCGCGCAAGACGGAGGAGGCCGACGCCGAGAACGACGAGAACGACGAGAACGCGTCCTCGAGCCAAGGCTCGATGGCGGATGGGTGGTAGTGCGAAACGGGCGAGGGGACGGCCGCAGACTTCACACCAAAACGTTCCACTGTGGGCGGGGGTGGGACAGTCCCGTGACTGGCATTGCCGTTCTTCGGAAACGTGGACACGTGCGCTCGCGATTTGTGAGAAGACGAAAAAAGAAACACACCCACCGCGACCTCCGACGAGAGAGAGAGAGAGAGAGAGAGAGAGAGAGAGAGAGAGAGAGAGAGAGAGAGAGAGAGAGAGAGAGAGAGAGAGAGAGAGAGAGAGAGAGAGAGAGAAATCGATCCTTGTCGAATCCGAAGGCATGCGTGTCATCGATTGCGAGACTCGAATCGCTTCCACGCACGTCGAGTAAAAGTTCGCAGGTGGCGGCCTCGCGCCCCTCGCGGGTGGCGGCGACCATCGCGACAGCGGGGCGAGTGTACCGGGCAACACTTCGAGTCCATCCACAGCGCCCTCGCACGACCAAGGTCTGACGTCCACGGCTCTTTATCAGCAGCTGCTTTTGATCTTGAGGGCGCGCGCTGCCATCCCAGCCAGCGGCACGGTGTGGGTCCGGAGCGCGCACATCTCCTCCTCATAGCTGCGTCCGGAGCGGGTCAAGCGAGGAGACTCGGGCTTACTCTCCTTGGTTGTTGGGGCTGCGGCACTTTCCATAGCTGCAACAGACTACGTAGTAGCCAGTGGCTGAACTGCAGCTACAGGCGTGGTGCGGCGGCTCCTGCTGCGTCAAAGGAGGAGCCGATGGAGGTCGGCTGCGAATCAGGTGACGACGGTGCGGGCAGCATCGCCGAGTGCGACACAGAAGCGAGAGGCGCTGGCGATGCGCACACTCGATGAGCGGCGTGTCTCATTGAGTTGGTTCCTAGCTAGGACTGCCCGTTGTGCTTGAAAGGCCAGCCGCATTGCATCACAGCCTCCCTGCCCTTTGCGACGCCTGCGACGACTGCTGAGTTGCATGCAGTACAGAGAAGCAGTGGTGGTGAGGGCTTTGTGAAAGCACGCGGGGTACGTCAGTACGGCTTCAGTTCCATTGTTGGGTAGGAGCTAGGAGACACTGCTCACTGGACGTGCGGGGACGGAACTGTGTTTGCGTGCGCGCCTTCATCAAGCAGCCATAAAAAACGTACCAGGTCGTAATTCGAAACACACCACACGCACACCTGCGGCTTTAGAGTGGTGCATGTGCATGGACATGTGAGAGTTATATAGTTAGTTAGCCCTCCCCAGGACCGCACCAACCGCGTCTTTTTGAATCGGCCTCGCGCGAGCAGCACCTGCAGGGTCCGAGAAGGGCGCGGGGAGGCGTGAGAGGTCGAGGCTTCGGAGGTCGCACGGCGTGAGAGGTCGAGGCGTGCAGGGGGCGAGAGAGCCGTGGCGGAGGTGGCCAGACAGAGAGAGAGAGAGAGAGAGAGGGGGGGGGGGGGGGGAGGGAGAGAGAGAGAGAGAGAGGGAGGGAGCGCAGCACACTGCCAGCGGCGCACGCGGCGCAGTGGAGAGGTGCGTGCGAGGCTGGTGCGCTGCCCGCGCGGCGCTCCACCGGTCGCAGCGCGCCAGCCTCGCCCGCCTCGCCATGCCAGCAGCCGGGCGCGCGCGGGAGAGGTGCAGAGCTGGCGCGTGGCGGGTCATGGTCGCCGAGATCTGGACGCGCAGGACCGCCCGGACGGCGAGGCTCGAGCGAGCGCCTGTGTGGAGGTCGAACGGCGTGTGGGAGGGCGGTGGGCCGCGAGAGAGTCGCGCAGCCCCGCGTGTGTGGACCGGTGGCGCTTCGGGTGGCGTATCGGGCCGTCAGAGGCAGATACGTGGCGCAGCGAGTGCGAATACATGCGATAATTTGCACGCACCGTGCCGAGCCGACCCGCGTGCACGATCGGAGCACCTCGAGGCGGCGCGAGAGGCGGTGTGTCGAGGTGCCGCGGCCCGCGGCTGCAGCGTGTCGAAACGGCGCTCTCGGAGGCGCCGCGGTGGCGGCCGAGCGCGCGGGATCGGCGAGAAAATTTGACGGCGTGCCGGCCGTGGGCCCGGACGAAGGTCCTGGCTCGAAAACGCGAGCAGAGGCCGCCGTGTGGGGCCACGGCGAGCCTCGGCGAGAAAGGTCAGCACCCTATCTCACGCCATCGGTTGGCTAGCTACTGCCTTCCTACTCCTCCGTTAGATTTTTCAGTCAATATATTGTGTTGCAGTATAAGTAGGACAGAGATTCATCGCGCGGGCGGGGCTCTCTCGGCTACGGGACCGGCCCCAGCGTCGGTCGGCTGAGGGTTGACAAGCTGCCGAGCGCCCCAATCACTGTGAGTGAGACAGATCATGCATGACAGATCAGAGAGAGGGAGAGAGAGAGATTTTTAGTCCGCACACGAGAAGGGCGTGATTAGTCAATATCAGTGCTCTCAGAGCACCGTTTCTTTTAGGTGACGCTCATCCACAGGGCAATGTTGAGACATGAATAACACGACACTCTGATGGAGAAGTTGTCAAATGTGACTCACATCGAGAAGGCGCTGAGCGAGGCGCTCTTGCCTCTTCACACACACCTCTCCGAAGTGACTCATATCGTGTAGCCTCTAGGCTCTTGCGTCGTTGGCACATGTTTGTGTATCGAGCGTCAGAGTCGTCGCGTCGTGCCGGCCGTTTGATTGCAGGCTACACCTACAGCCCAGCCCCTGCCGGCAGCCGCTTCCGCTCTCGCCACGACCCGCACGGACCAGGCCTCTCCCCACTCGCACTCCCGCTAGCTGCACTCTAGGGCTAAGAGTACGATTCGAACACTCAAAAACGAACTCCACGAAAACACCGGGGAAAAACAATGGCCGCGTCAAAAGCGATCCAAACCAATCGCCGAATGAACGTGCGCCACCGCACACGCCCAAACAGGCAAGCTGCCCAAGACAGGCGCTGTCCGCAGATGGCGAACTCGGGTAACACGCACAGCTGCAAGCTGCCCACGACATACATACGGCTTTACCGCGGTGCTGGTGACACTCGTGTTTGCACCCTCTCGGTTGGACTATTTTAGATATGAGCGTGTGTCGCTCAAATTCTGTATATCGACGTGACAGTACTCAGTACTAGACCCTGGCACTTATAGACACCGCATTTGACTCAACAGCCAAGCCCAAGAAAGAAATGGTTCGTGGTGTCTCTTTGCCCGCGTCGGCGGGGGCGCCTTCAGCATCCGCTCTCGCATCCGACGCACCCGATGCAGTTGCGGAAAGATGGCGTCGGGATGCACGCGCGCCCGCCGCAGCGCAAGCTGCGGACAAAGCTCCGCTCCGTTTGGTCCTCGAGCTGCTGGCTGGTGGCGAGGCTGCGCACGTCCCACAGCTCGGTATTCCATTTGATCAGCTTTGCATTCAACGATCCGCTCGGTTGGTATAGCAGTTGCAGTGAGTCGTACCCATGCGCGTGCAGCCGCGCACCAATGTATTGGTCGAGGACGCCGTCGCCCGAGAGCTGCCGAACCCAAGCAGGCACATGCAGCGGGCACGGGGTGCGCTCTGCCATGGCAAGTGCCTTGGCGATTGAATCCGCCATGAGGACGGTCCGTCTTCGCGCCGCCGCCTCCGCGCGTAGGATACGCTCTATGCCACACGTGTGGTCGCATTCGGTCGAGCACGTGGCGTTCGACTTGTGCTCGGAGGAGTGGACATCACAAGTGCCGCTCATGCGGGCAACCTTGTACGCCGCGACGAGACGGTTTGTCGCAGCAAACGTTCGGCCTGTGTTCCACATCACGGATGAGCAGCCGCGCGCATAGTGGAGCCACATTCCGCGCGAGGAGCGGTAGAAACGATCGCGCACGTGACCGACGGGGAGGTACACGTTGTCAACCTGTAGCTCGCGGTTCATCGCAGTTGTGCGGCAGTGCTCCTCACAGTCGGTCCCATTGGTACGCTTGTGGCTCGGGAAGCACGCGTCGGGCGTGTTTGAGCCATGAAATATCCGTGGCGCCATCCAGTGCGATCGGCGCGGTCGGGCAGCATCGTCGTACACGAGGCCTGCACGGTTAACGTCCGACGGGGTCGCGTTGTCGTGCGCTCGCACGGGGTGCGCCAGCCAGCAACGCGGTGCTGCGTCGGGCAGCATGCGCGGAGCGGCGTCTACTACAGAGCACGGCAGCTGGTTCTCGTGGCGGCAGCGCTCGGTTGACTCTACCAGATAAAAAGTGAGGCTAGCGGAGAGGGCGGCGGTGAGGGCGGTGGTGAGGGTGGCGGCACCCGGGCCCGGCCGTCCCCGCCCCCTCCCTCACCTGCCCCACCCCGGGGCCTCACCCGACCCCAGCGCTAGCCGGTTTGAACATCGGTCATCGCTGTCAGGGACCTCTTAAGGGCTCCAGCCCGGCCCCTGGCTGACTGCCAGCACCAATGCACCTGCCTGAAGCAATGGGTTGCTGTAGGGAACGCATTTCACGGCTTGGCTCGCACCGGGGGCCGGGGGTAGCTCGTCCCCGGGTGCGCCCTCCACTGCCCCGGGGGTGGGTGGCCTCACCGCAGCCGGCGACGTCCCGGGGTGAGGTCTCGGGGTGAGTCCCGGGTGAGGCCCGCCCCCCCGCCCCCCCGTCCTCGGGCTACTGTGATAGGCACATGAGGAGCGCTGTGCATTTTGGCTGGCCATCTCACAAATGGCAAACGTCGCACCGGTCCGCTCCTCGTATAGTCCTCGAGCGCCTGCTCAAACGTGCTGCGGCCGGAAGCTCCACTCATCACTCAACAACCCCCTCAAGAGGCGATGCGCCGCCGTCGACCTCTCGCCGTCGGGGTTCTACGTGGAGGGGCGCCTGCTAGCGCGCCGCGCCCACCAGCGCCCACCCCGCCGCAAGCGTGTCGACCCGTGTCCCGTGTCCCGTTCCGGTACGCGGTAGATAGATAGGAGCCTTCCCTCCCTCCGCCGGGGCACTATAGCACACATCGAGCCACACATGGGAGCCCTCGTGCGTCGTGGCGAGAGCACCCCATACGTGTGCCATACGTGCGCACGAAACTTGCTATATTCGTATATATTTACACACGACGACACACCTCTCACGACACGACCCTGCGGTGCGCCTAGCCGGGAGGGTGCGCTGCGCGAGCCCCTGGACCTCGCGCACTTCTCATCATCCATAGAGCATCAATGATGCTCGAGTCCATGACCGACACTATACAAGTGTTAGTGATCGGATATGACGTGTGATAGTGACCGATTCCCAGAACCATTGGCTAGAGAATTGGAGCTCAGGGAAAAGTAAGAACTTCAGACGGTGCTGCTGGAGCCGTTGTTGCGCGCGAGGCTGAGCCACTGCGCAGTCGCGTTTGCGCCGGGCGCGGCCTGGCGAGATCCGCACTCTGCCATGCGCGGAAAGCACGAGCGAAGCGCATCCACAAGAAAGTGGGCCGCCGCTGCCGCGCCGCCCGCCGCCTCAAAGATGAGGTGCGAGCGCGCCGCAGCGAGCGCCCTTTGCCTGCGCAGCACTTCGTCGCGGGGCATTGCGCGGAGCATTGGCACCAGCCCTTGCGGCGACCTGAGATAGGCGTGGTCGTCCACCGCGACGGCAAAGGCGCGGTAGTCGATGCGCGCAGAAAATGCAAGCACTCCGGTGACCCAGATGTGGCTCCCGAGAAGGACCGGAAGGCATCCCGCGCCAATCGCCGAATAGAGGCGCGAGGTGATAAAAGTGTCGCCCGCAGGGACAAGGCAGAAGACCGACCGTGCCAACGCGTTGCCCGCGCGCTGGCTCATCACAACGGCCTGAGAGGTCCCACCGTCCCAAGGGCTCGAGTGCGCGGTCCATACGCCACGCGCGTGCGCCGCGTAGGATGCATTCGTCGCAGCCTCGAGCTCGGCCAGTGTGCGTGCAAGGCACGACGCGTTCTGGATGCTGCGTGTTCCGGGGTGCAAGCTCGGCATGATCTCGACGTCGTCCGCGAACAGAGAGGAGAGGAGCACATCGCCAACGGCGCAGCGGACCCGCGCCCCTGAGCAGCACACGTCGAGGGATCCGGAGAAGGAGACGAGCAGCGGTCGAGGAGCGTTCGGCTCGGACTCGTGAGCCTGCAAAGCATGCGGGTTCACGCCGTAGGGCACTGTCGTCCGGCAACCGCCGCCCGCCCGAGCCTTGTACCGCCCTGCGGTCGCGCAGCGGAGCAGCCCGGAGAGCGGATGCATCCGGCTGACGATGCGGGTGCCTGCGAGGTGATGGTCATGGCCTTAGGGAGGCTGGGGGGGGCACAGAGGCGTGTACTCAGTGCCGCACCTGGCGAATCTGTAAATGAACTCAAAAAGACATGGTCGCACCCACGGCAGCGCTGCCAATGTGGCGATACGGCCAGCACGGCCGCTGCTGCTGCCATCCGTGAGTGGTGCGACCTGAGCAGGGCAGACGGCACGGCTTTGCCGGCCACGGTACAGTTTCGCAGCCTTCTCGCCGGCGGTTGCTCTCCGAGCAGATAGCTGGTCGCCTCGAAGATAGGCAGGTAAAATATGGCGGCCTTGGCCGGATTGCGCACGCGCAGTGGATGGTGAATGAGCTGCGAGTGGAGCCCAACCTCAGCAAGCTTCTCGCTTGCGACGGAGTGCGCCAGCTCAGCGAAGCCATCGCAGGTTTTCATCCAGCCGTGGTCCAGCTCGGGCTGGTCGTACATGAAGAAGGTGGCGGTGTGGAGGTGGGATCCATTGATTGACGGGAGCATCAAGATTCGTGTGCCGCCTTCCTCCCAGCTACGGCCAGTGCTGCGAGCTGCAACTGGATGATCCGCGTTCGCGTGTGGCTGATCCGCGTTGACTCGCCCGTCGTCCCGTGCCGCTCGTCCGCGTTTGACTCGCCCGTCGTCCATGATAAAGAATTCACGGTGGCTCTCTGGCTTGTCTATACAAAATCGCATTAAAATCCCTGTGTGGTGGCGGCGTGCCGTTCTCCCATCCCTCCCTTGGGTTGTCTGTTTTCTTTCTTTCTTTATACAAAATCGCAACCCCGGACCCAAGACGCACAAGCACAGACAGTCGAGAGAGGCAACCCCACCTGGCTTGCCTTGGTCTTGACCTCTGAGATCTCTCTGTGTGAGTCTTGACTGCAGCCTGGTGGTTCGGAACCAGAAAAAAACAAATGACGTGACGGAACCAGTGGTTGTGCATCAATTCCTTTCATAAAATGAACTCGGGGGCACGGGACGCGGCACAAACGGGGCACAAACGCCAGGCTACAAAGACGGGGAGGCACGTAGTGACGCAGGGGAGTCTAGGCATCAATTCCTTTCGATGGGATTGCCCTCGGGTTGGGTATGGACCTGCTGGTCCTGTTTGTTGGTCCTGCCTCCCGTGCGGCCGCCGGCTGCGCGAGCCGCTTCATGACAAAAGAAAAACACGGCAGAGTCCCCATTTTCACGAGCAGGATCTTGGGATTTTTGATTTCTTCTTCGTGGCTACTCTCAAGTGAGGGAGTTTTGTTGAATTCTGCGTCGGAGAGTAGCTCGTCTCCTGGGCACAGAAAAAAATAGAAACGACAAGAATGGACTGCTGGGGCTGCCGCACCGCCTCGGCGCGCTTCTGCGCCGCCTGCGTGCAGCAAGCGACCGCCGAGCGGCAGCGCGGCATCACAGAGTTTGCCGCGGAGAACCGCCGTCTCGTGAGCATCATGGCCGAAGGGCTCGACGAGAGAGCGCGCGCTCTCGCGCAGGCCGAGGCGCGGCTCTCTCACGCGAGGACGGTGGCGAAGCTCGCGGCGGAGCTGGCGACGGTGCGGCGCGAGGCGGACCAGCAGGCCGTCATTGTCAACGAGCTGCGCCACTCGGTGCGCCGCGCCTCGTCGCGCTTCTCGCGCGCCAAGGCGGCGGCGGGCAGAGGCGACGGCGAGGCGGCGGCGGGCCACTGCGTTGGCACGGCCGGCGGGGCCGGGCGCGAGCCTGGCCCGAGTCCTTCTTGGGAGCTGGCCTCTTCTCGAGAGCTGGCGTCTCGAGAGCTGGCCGACGAGCTGCGAGCTCGCCTCTCCGAGCGGCGGAGAGAGCTGCTGTGCGCGCCGCCTCTGCCCTGACTCCCCGTCCGTGGCCCGGCCCTAGAGCTGCGCAGCCTCTTCCCCTCGCGAGCCGTGTGTGGCGGCGTGGCGGCGCTCTCAGCCGCCCTCGCCCCTCCACTGTCTGCAGGCGGCCTCTGCTGGAGTGGCTTTGCGGCAGCAGACTGGCAGAGCGCGGCGGCGCCGGCGGCGAGGGCGGCGACGGGAGCGGCGGCGGCAGAGGCGGCGGAGGCGGAGGCGGCGGAGGCGAGGCTGCGGCGAGGCTGTTCCAGCACTTGGTGTTGCCTCCTCCGCCGCCGCTGGTCGGACAGAGCGCCGCCGCCGGGCTGCGCTGCGCCCCGCTCTCGTCGCTCCTCTCCCCGGCCCTCCCCACCGACTGGGCACGTGGACGGGGGCAGAGGGCCGGGAGTCGACGGCTCCGCGCCCCATCTGCAGGCGGCGCACTCGCACGTGGACCGAGGAGTCGGGGAGTGCCAGGCGACGCTTCTCGGGTGCACAGATGCAGCCGAGATGCAGCCGAGATGCAGCCGAGATGCAGCCGAGATGTAGAGTCGGCGAGTGGCGTGCGTCTCGGGCGAGACAGCCGCCGCCGCGCCGCAGCACCCCCCCCCTCCCCCCCCTGGGCACGGGAGCCAGCGCCACGCCGCCCAACCAACCCGCCACCAAGGCCACTCTCCGCCACCAAGGCCACTCTCCGCCACTCGCCCACCCTCGCCCTCCCGTCACTCGCTCGCCCCCGCCCTCGCCCTCGCCCGCACCCGCACCCCCCACCCCCCACCCCCGGCAGGTACGCCATCCTCACGATGCGGCTCTGCGCGTGCTACTTGGGGCTGCGCCCGCCCCTCTACCCCACCGTCTTCCAAGGCGGCCCCGCTTTTGCACCGCCTCCTCCCCCCCCCCCCCTCCCCTTCCCCCTTACAAGCCTCTCCCCCGCAGGCTCCCACTCCCTCATCTGGCACGCCGGACAGCACCGCGCACTCTCCCTCAGAGGCTCGCAGCTCGGCTCGCCAGAGTGGCTGCAGGCGCCCTCCCCCCGCTGCCCGCTGCCCCCGCCCCCCCTGCCGCCCTTGCCGCCTCTGCCGCCCCGCCGCCCCGCCCCTCCCGCCCCCTCCCTCTCCCCGCCGCCCTCCCTCATCCCCCCTCCCTCTCCCACCTCTACCCAGGCGGTCGCGATGTTGCGCGCAAACGCGCAACACCTCCTCGCCCCCTTCGCCGCCGCCGCCGCATCGCCGCCGCCGCCCGTGTCTGCACATGTGCTCGAGCAGGCGCGGTCCCTTGCCCGGCCCCCTCGGGTGATCGCCTCTGACTAAATCTCAACCCGCTCACTCGGATGTACGATCGCCTCTGACTCGTCCTCCGCCTTGCTCGAGCAGGTGCGGTCCCTCCTCCGCGTGCCTTGCCTCGCTTGGGAGCTGCAGCAGCCCGACGAGTCCGCCCCGCCGCCCTGGCGCGCGCCCGAAGATGCGCTCGGCGCCGGGATCGCCGAGGACGCGAACGCCGATTGGGACGTGGTCGAGCGGCCGTCGGTGCCCACACCGGCCGACGTCGACGACGTCGACCATTGGGAGGCGGCCACCGCCTCGAGCTCATAGACACTAGAGGCCCGCCGCCGCCACGCCGCGTGTGGCACCGTATATCGTCTCGTTGTGAGTAAGGGAGAAAGGTTTGATTATTTTTTACTGTTTGCTTGGAGTCCTTCGATGAGTGCGCCCCTAGCTTTTTCCTTCTCTCCCCCCTCTCATCCCCCCCCCCTGACCCCTGAGCCCTGACCACTTGGCAGGCCGCCGCCTGCACACGGCTCAGCAGGCACGTGCTAGCACGCACCTACCCCTCCCCTCGATCCGGGATCGCTGCGAGACTTCGGGCTCTGCGGAGTTAGTCTCAGCCTCTTTCTCTTCGTCTTCGACTTCGGCCCCCCACGCCCCCACACGCACCCCCCACCGCGCGCTTCACCGCCCCTGCGCATGTCTTGTCGCCCTAGGGGCTCGGGCCCAGGCCTGAACTCCTCACTGCACTGTTGCAGAATGTCCCTTGTAATAGAGCGTTGTGTTCTTGTGGTATCCGCTTTCTCCTGTGGCATCTGCAATCTGGCATCTCGATCGTCGATGCGCGCCGATGGCGATGCGAGGTGTGGGGTGTGTGTGTGGGCCCTCTAGTCGCCTAGTGTGGGCCGCGGCGGCCGGGCACGTCGTTAACGTCGTCGTACTTTCTTGTGGTCGAGAGGCTTGGAGGCTCACTGTCTGTGGGCCCTTGCTAAGTGAAAAACGTTAGCCACAAAGTATACACGCAACGGCGCCCGCCTGTTCGCTGCTGCCGCCGGCGTTCAGCCGCGCGGCTCCGGTTTTTGCACTGCTCAGTCACTCTGCTTTTTCCGCAGCCTTCGCCGCCGCAGTCTTCTTCGCCTCCTCCCGCAGGCGAAGGCGCTCGGCCAGGGGTGCCAGCGGCGGTGCGGGCGGATCCTCCTCGCCGGTGATTTTGAACAAATAGCAGAGCAGAAGCGCGATAAAAGCGAGCATCAGAGTTGCACCTCTCGCCTCAATCGCTTTGCTGGCGAGCCACGTTACCCAACTCGCGAGCAAATGCGCCACCTCGATGGCGTGCTCGGCGTGCCCCATAATCTCATTGGGCATGCCTCTTGATCGCTTCGCTTTTTACAAAAAACAAATCCCGCAGGCCTGCCCCTCCCATCCCAGTCCAACCGGACGTGGCATCTCGACAGGTGGGGGTTGTACGGGGCCTTGACATCGCCCTCCCGGCCTATGACAATGGTCCGGCCGCAAAGAGGTATCGGCCCACCGCCCCGCGGGTTGTGCGGTATCAGCCACCCCCATGGCGAACCCCCCAGCGTCGCCCAGGGCAGGAGGGAGACGGCCGATGCTATCGCCGGTTCCGGGGCCCTGGCCCCCCCCTTGTCACCCCCCCCCTCTTCCCCGTCGCCCCTACCTCCACCGGAGTCGGTCGCCATCCTCGCCCGTTGAGGGTGGGGGAGGGTGGCCGTAGGCGAATCCTGGGATCGCCTCTTGCTTTGCCTGCGGCGGCTTGCAGCGCGTCAGGCTGATTGGCGCGTCAGGCTGATTGGCGCGTCAGGCTGACACCCTCGGACGGTTCCTCCGCCACCGCCGCCGCCTCCGCCACCACGTCTGACGCCGCCTCCGCCACCACCGCCGCTGCCGCCTCCGCGACGGGATACCACAAGTGGCAGTGACTCCATCAGAGCTCCAGTAAGCTCGGAGACACCCCATTAGCGCGGCTCGACCTCTTTGAGTCACTGCCTTCCCGCGGTTTTGCTGTAGAGCCTCTACAACAAACTCTACAGCAAAATCGCGCTCTACAGCGCTCTACAACGCACGCAGTTCGTCCCGCGCCGGATGTAGAGCTCTACAGCGCTACAGCGCTCTACAGCTCTACAGCTCTACAGCGCTCTACACTCTACATCCTCTACACCCTCCCTCAGGGCCCCGCGCCTCGCCGCTTGTAACACGGTTGCCGTCTCACTTTTGGCATGAAAGCTAAATACGGGAGGGAGATGCGCGCCATCCAGGAGCGGCTCGGGCGGCTCAACAGTGAGCGCTGCAAGATTCGGCAGCTTGCGACGAGTGCTTCCACGCGAACTGCCAACGCCCACCTCCTCCAAGGCTTGGACGACGAGGAGGCGGAGCTCGTGGCGACGCTCGAGCGGCTGCGCCTGCTCGCCGAGACGGAGTCGGGGTCCGTGCACTCGACCGCCCTCGCCGCAGGCAAGCTCACACACACACACACACACACACACACACACGGGCGCGAAAAAAATCAAGTTAATATCGGCAAGCGGCCAAAGTCTCACTCGAATCTCGATCTCCCCCGCGCGGGACACCACCCAATGCCAAAGTGGGTGCATGACACCACAACGGATTTTGTTACGGACTGCACATGCCCCTTGCCTACCACTCGGTCACCGCGAGCGCAAAGGTGATCGTGAGCGTGAGCGTGACGGTCGCGAGCAGGTACTGGGGGATGATTGCCCACGCGACGAGCTGCGCCGAGCGCGGCTTCTTGGCGAGGTGCAACATCACGACGACCATCGAGGCCGTCGGCGGTGCCATCTCGACGAAGACGATCACGCGCATCAGGCGCGAGGGAGGCAGCTCTCCGAGCACCGCGTACATCACGCCGCCGTGGCAGAGCGGAGCAAGCACCATGCGGCCGAGAGTGAGCGTCACCATCGTCCGAGGTGAGATGCCCGCCCCCTTGGAGCCGAGGAGCTCTCGCCACGACTTGAGAGCGCGCAGCTTGTGGCCGAGAGAGAAGGCGAGCATCAGGTTGACGATCGGCACGGCGCCCTCCGAGAGCGCAGAGAGCGCCTGGCCAATCGGCAGTAGCGCGGCTCCCGGCGCAAACAGCACCTCCTGCACCGGGCGGATGAGGCCGATGATCAGGCCGACAATCACGCCGAGGACTGGCGGCCGCCGAAACAGCGCGACGGAGCGCTTGCCGCCGAGCAGCGCGAGTGCGCGCGCGCGCTGCCACCGGTCCTGCCCCGGTGTCTGCACCGCGCGCACGTCGAGGCTGATCTCGCGCAGGCTCGCGTGGCGCACGAGGCCGCCGACCGACGGCGGCAGCGGCTCTGACGCCGGCGCGTCACTCACGGCTGCGACGGCGGCGTCGACCGACGGCGTGGCCGGCAGCGCCGCTATCTCCGCCGCTGGCAACGCCGCCGCCGCCGCCGGTGGCGGCGCGGCTGCCTCCAACACATCGTCAGCGGCGAGGTACCCGAACCCGACGACCCACACGTTGAACGAGTTGAAGCAGACGTACATGAAGACGAGCGCGCGCGCCCGCAAGACGCACTCGGCCGCCGTCTCGAACTCCACGTCGAAGGCACCCATCTCGCACAGCGATTGCGTCACCGAGAGCGGGATCGCCACCACGTTCGGCAGTGCCATCGCCACGACAAACGGCCGGCGGAAGGCGGGCGACGGGAGCGCGACCAGGCGCAGCAGCAGGCCGATTGCCGCGAACTCGCACATTGAGACGAGTCCGATGAGCGCCAGCACCCATCCGTCGGAGACAAATAGCTCCACGCTCAGGCCACGCCCGAGCGCGACGATCGAGAGCAGCGGGACAAAGATTGTGTTCATCGCCGCGCCAAATCCGCGCAGGTCGGCCTCGCGAACGATGCCGAACCAAGCGACGGCGGCGCCGATGGCGTATTGGATAAACAAACTGACGATGACGCGGAAGCTGGTGAGGAGGAGGCCGGAGAACATCTCCCTCGACTTCAGCTGCGAGCGCCCGTTCTGAGGAAGTCAGTTCGGTCGAGCGCGGAGTCAGAGTTCGGAGAGAGGTCAGAGAGTCAAGCGTGAACGGCGCTTTCTCTCGAGGTTCTCGAGGTGGATATCCTTTGGCCGCGTTGGGTAGCGAGGATTGGTGTAACCCGAGCCACGGAGGCGTGTTTTCTGCGCTTTCGCGAGCTTGCCGGCTGCGCCTGCTGCTGACTGAGACTCAGTCATGCAATAGGAATTCCTATCCAGTCGGTCGACTTTACCTCGGCGAACGAACGAATCCAAACAAATAAATTGGCGGGGGGGCTCCTGGCGGTTCTTCGCTGGGTGGAAGGAGGCCCGGCCGGCCTTGAGGGAGTCGCGGAGGAGGGTATCTCCGTTTTCTTTATTTATTTAATCGCATGTTTGATACAGGGGTCAGTTACCCGACACAGCGTCATCCATGAATCAAACCATATGTGAAACTGTGTGTTGACCACTCTACACAGCGCAACAACAACCCTAAAAACAAGCGATGCGCGCACGATTTCTTCCCTGCTCCAGTTAGCCGCCTCCTGCCGACACACATACGGTCCTTGTATGGAAGCCGCCGCAGCCGCCGCCGAACGCGGCGTCACCGCAAATCGTGTCGGCGACAAAGCAGCCGAATTTGCAGCAGCAGCCGATGATTTCGCATCCATGGCTGCGCAGCTCAGCTCCGCGCAGGAGACGAGCGCCTTTGGCTCCTTTGCTTCGGGCGGCGGCAACGAGGCGGCTGCGGGCGAGTGGGCCGACTTTGGGTCCGGCGGCGACGATTTCGGCGACGCATACGTGCCCTTTTTGCCGCCTCCACCGTCACGGTCCGAGGATGCGTCGCCCGCCGCTCCCGTCGCCAGCCCGCTGCCCGCGGAATCGACCGCTGCTGCTGCCGCGGCTGCCCAAGCCGTGCGCGCTGAGGCGAGCACGCCGACCAACGGCGGCGCTGCCGCCGGCGGCGACAGCGGTGGCTCCGGTGATGGCAGTGGCGGCGGCGACGGCGGCGGCAGCGACAGCCTCGCAACGCCCTCGTCGGCCTACGGCTAGCTCCCCTGGCAGCCCGCCTGGCCCGAGGAGCCTCCCACGAGGCCTCTGCCCCGCCCCACTAGGCTGGCTCTCCTCCAGCAGCCTCCTCTCCTCGAGCTCGCTCCTCTCCTCTGCAGCAAAGGACACGAGCGGCACGCGCTCTGACTTCCTCCTCCTCGCCCTCCCTCACCCTGCTTCTTCATGCCGAGGATAGGACCTGAGCAGCATGCGCTCGCGCGCGGCAGAGACCCTCTCCTCCGCCGCCGCCTCCGCCGCCGCCGACGCGCAAGCCAAGGCGGACGCGCTGCGCGAGACCGTCGGTTCTGCGGTCGCCTCCCCAGGCCCCGCCCAAGTCCCCTCCCTCTCCTCCACGGCCGGACAGCTGTCATGACCGTCGCTGGCCTGTCCGAAGGCCTGTCCGAAGGCCTCGCCCAGATGAGCTCCCTCTCCTCCATGGCCGACAAGATCGACCTCTCGCCGAGCCTCTCCAAGTTCGCCTCTGACATCGGCGACGCGGGCGACACCTAGCCTCGACGCAGCCGAGATGCAGCCGAGACGCAGCCGAGATGCAGCCGAGACGCAGCCGAGATGCAGCCTCGACGCAGCCGAGATGCAGCCTCGACGCAGCCGAGATGCAGCCTCGACGCAGCCGCGACCTAGCCTCGACGCAGCCGAGATTAGCCGAGATGAGCCGATATCGGAGACGCGGGGGCGCGAGCTTTCCCGCTCGCGGCAACTCCCCGCCGCCCGTGGCGAGGTAGTCTCTTCACGCGGCCACGGCTCTCCCTCTGGTGCAGGCAAGCGGCTGAGCGGCCTCCCCTCGCTCGGCACCTCTCTGCCCGCCCTCGGCTCGGTCTCGATGCCAAGACACTTCCTAGACACTTCCTACTCTGCCCGCCCTCGGCTCGGTCTCGATGCCGTCTGTCTCGGTGCCCTCCGCCTTCAGCTCCGCCTGCCTTCAGCTAGCTCCGGCTCGGCAGTCACCTCTCCTCACCCAGGGCTGAGAAGTCACAGGTGCCCTCCGCCTTCAGCTCCGCATCAGTCCTCTCCGCCTTCAGCTCGCTCGGCGCCGGCGGTGGCGCGAGCGAACCGTCTCAGGGCGGCGGCGCGGCGGGCGAGGGCGGCGGGGAGGGCGGCGGGGGGGGCGGTGCGGAGGGCGCGGCGGGCGCGGCGGGCGGCGAGGGCGTTGCGGTGAAGAAGAAGAAGAAGCCGAAGCCTCCTCCGAGGCCTAAGACTCCTCCGAGGCCTAAGACCGATGCGGAGAAGTTCGCGGCGCTGATGGAGGCGGAGGAGTGGGAGAAGGCTGCGCACTTTGCGGCCACGTCTCCCTCGCAGGAGCTGCGCACGCGCGAGACGGTGGTGGCGTTCCAGGCTTCGCGCCGGCGGGGGAGGGGTGGCGCGTGCTGCGTAGCGTGGGGAGTGAGGCCCGCGCCGCTGCTGCGCGCAGGCGGCCAAGGCGACCGACGGCGGTAAACCGCCCGTGCTGCGGTACTTCGGCGCTCTGCTCGCGCTCAAGGAGAGTCGAGAGGGAGAGGGGCCGAGAGGTGCCGAGAGGAGGCGAGAGGTGCCGAGAGGAGGCGAGAGGGGCCGAGAGGAGACGACAGGAGCCGAGAGGGGCCGAGAGGGGCCGAGAGGGGCCCGAGAGGCGGCGAGATCGCTCACGCTCAAGCTTCGATGCGCGAGGATGTGGCAGGGTGGCCCCGCCCCGCCCCCCGAAGACGCGTCCACGCGACGCCGCAGGCCGGGCCGGCGCAGACTCACCGTAGAGGTGGCGGTGGTGGCGGCCGTAGGACAGACTCACCGTAGAGGTGGCGGTGGTGGCGGCCGTAGGACAGACTCACCGTAGAGGTGGCGGTGGTGGCGGCCGTAGGACAGACTCACCGTAGAGGTGGCGGTGGTGGCGGCCGTAGGACAGACTCACCGTAGAGGTGGCGGTGGTGGCGGCCGTAGGACAGACTCACCGTAGAGGTGGCGGTGGTGGCGGCCGTAGGACAGACTCACCGTAGAGGTGGCGGTGGTGGTGGCTGTAGGACCAGACTCACCGTAGAGGTGGCGGTGGTGGCGGCTGTAGGACCAGACTCACCGTAGAGGTGGCGGTGGTGGCGGCCGTAGGACAGACTCACCGTAGAGGTGGCGGTGGTGGCGGCCGTAGGACAGACTCACCGTAGAGGTGGCGGTGGTGGCGGCCGTAGGACCAGACTCACCGTAGAGGTGGCGGTGGTGGCGGCCGTAGGACAGACTCACCGTAGAGGTGGCGGTGGTGGCGGCTGTAGGACCAGACTCACCGTAGAGGTGGCGGTGGTGGCGGCTGTAGGACCAGACTCACCGTAGAGGTGGCGGTGGTGGCGGGTTGTAGGACCAGACTCACCGTAGAGGTGGCGGTGGTGGCGGCCGTAGGACAGACTCACCGTAGAGGTGGCGGTGGTGGCGGCTGTAGGACCAGACTCACCGTAGAGGTGGCGGTGGTGGCGGCTGTAGGACCAGACTCACCGTAGAGGTGGCGGTGGTGGCGGGTTGTAGGACCAGACTCACCGTAGAGGTGGCGGTGGTGGCGGCCGTAGGACAGACTCACCGTAGAGGTGGCGGTGGTGGCGGGTTGTAGGACCAGACTCACCGTAGAGGTGGCGGTGGTGGCGGCTGTAGGACCAGACTCACCGTAGAGGTGGCGGTGGTGGCGGGTTGTAGGACCAGACTCACCGTAGAGGTGGCGGTGGTGGCGGCCGTAGGACAGACTCACCGTAGAGGTGGCGGTGGTGGCGGGCTGTAGGGCAGACTCACCGTAGAGGTGGTGGCGGGTTGTAGGACAGACTCACCGTAGAGGTGGTGGCGGGTTGTAGGACAGACTCACCGTAGAGGTGGCGGTGGTGGCGGCCGTAGGACAGACTCACCGTAGAGGTGGCGGTGGTGGCGGGCTGTAGGGCAGACTCACCGTAGAGGTGGTGGCGGGTTGTAGGACAGACTCACCGTAGAGGTGGTGGCGGCCGTAGGACAGACTCACCGTAGAGGTGGCGGTGGTGGCGGCCGTAGGACAGACTCACCGTAGAGGTGGCGGTGGTGGCGGCCGTAGGACAGACTCACCGTAGAGGTGGCGGTGGTGGCGGCCGTAGGGCAGACTCACCGTAGAGGTGGCGGTGGTGGCGGGCTGTAGGGCAGACTCACCGTAGAGGTGGTGGCGGGTTGTAGGACAGACTCACCGTAGAGGTGGTGGCGGCCGTAGGACAGACTCACCGTAGAGGTGGCGGTGGTGGCGGCCGTAGGACAGACTCACCGTAGAGGTGGCGGTGGTGGCGGCCGTAGGACAGACTCACCGTAGAGGTGGCGGTGGTGGCGGCCGTAGGACAGACTCACCGTAGAGGTGGCGGTGGTGGCGGGCTGTAGGGCAGACTCACCGTAGAGGTGGCGGTGGTGGCGGCCGTAGGACTCAGACTCACCGTAGAGGTGGTGGCGGGTTGTAGGAAGGGCTGACGCACGACGAAGGCGTCGCTCTCGCCACGCCGATGGTGGCGCAGGGCCAGCTGCCGCTGCTGCAGCGCTGGATCGGCGAGGGGAAGCTGCGGCCGAGCGAGCAGCTGGCGGACGTCCTCTGCGACGCGGAGAGGGGCGGGCCGGCGGCGGCGCTGCCGATGTACCGGGAGGCGGGCGTGGACGAGAAGGCGGAGGCTCTGTGAGGGGTGTAGTGATCACATGTAGCGGTTCTCCTTCCTCTTGATTGGCAGAGGGCTCCGTCTGTAGGCGACTCTCTGCCTCGTCGAGACGGGCGACCTCGAGGCGCTGCGCGAGGAGAGCAGGAGAGCGGCCCGCCGGATGCCCGCCGGATGGGCCGAGACGCACTACGCGAGATGAGGCCGAGATGGGCCGAGATGGGACGAGATTACCCGAGGTGGGCAGAGGTGGGCAGAGGAAGGCGGGAGGATGTCCCCCCCTTTCCGGGAGAAGAGGCCTTTCCCCTCCCCCCCCCCCGCGCGTCGGGACACGGCACGCACGTTGCTCGTCGCATGCCCCCGCCCAGGTCGCCTCGTACAACATCGAGCTCGCGCACTAATTATTCATTGTTAACTGATAATTAATCATTGATAACCAGGTCGCCTCGTACAACATCGAGCTCGCGCACGCGCCGCCCCCGATGCCACCCCTCGAGGCGATCGTCGGAACGCTGCTCGACCACGGCGGCCGGCTGCCCCTCGCCACCGAGCTGCCTATAGCTAGTACCTTCATCATCAATCAGCACATGAATCAGGCGGCCTGCCCCTCGCCACCGAGCTGCCTATAGCTAGTACCTTCATCATCAATCAGCACATGAATCAGGCGGCCTGCCCCTCGCCACCGAGCTGGCCACAAACTCGCTCGAGCTCGGGTCGGGAGAGATCAGCGGCGCGCGGCCAGCGGAAGCAGCCCCCCCTGCCGGCCCCACGGAAAGTTTACCCGCGGCCCTGGCTCTGCGAGCAGGCAGACTGCAGACGCGCCTGCTCGCCGCACACTTGGCGGAGGACCGCGCCGCTGGCGAGAAGCTCCTCGACGCCGACACGTTCCCCGAGGCGGACCCGCAGGCAGACCGCGGCTACGCCCCCCCCCCCCCCCCCTCCCCCCCCTCACCGCGGCGGCACCTTCCCCTCACCTCCCTCGGAGCGGAACCCGCGGGCGACCGCTCAGACCTTGCGAGGAGATCACCCGAGATCACCCGAGATCACCCGAGATCACCCGAGATTGCCCGCAGGCGACCGCTCAGACGTGCGAGGAGCTTGGCCTCTACGCGCGAGCCATCCGGCTCCACCCTTCCGCGGACGAGGCGCCGCAACTCCACCGCACCTCGGCTACATCACGGCCGCACCTCGGCCGCACCTCGGCCGCACCTCGGCCGCATCTTGGGGCTGCATCTCGGCTCCATCTCCGCCTCGCCCCCCGCCTCGCTCGAGGTGGGCCGGCTGATCTGCGAGAGCGCAGTCGACGTCTCCACCGCCGTCGAGGCCATCGGCAGGATGGGCCCGCCACAGGTCATGTCTCCCCATATATCTCCCCACATCTCCCCAGATCTCCCACCGGCAGGATGGGCCCGCCGCAGGGGCTCGCAGCGGTTGGCCGGCTCGTCGACACGGACACGCCGGAGGCGGCTGCGAAGGCGGTGGCCGCCGCGATCGCGCTGCACGGCACGCTCGGCCACTCCGAGCTGGCGTCTCTCTTCCGGCCGAAGGAGGCGGGGGACAACAGGGAGACGGCTCTGCTCGACTACTTGCGTGCGCGCGTGGCGGCGGCGGGCGACGACGCGGCGCTCACGTTCGAGTACTTGGGCGCCTGCTGCGCCGCGGGGCAGGTCGACGAGGACGCGCGACCTGCACACTGCCACGTAGTAACAACAACAACAACAATAGGTCGACGAGCTCGAGAGAGTGACGCGCGACCGCAGCATAGCCTACGACGCGGTGCAGGCTTGCACGCTCTTGCGCGAGGCAGGCGGGGCGGCGGGCAAGGACCCGCGCCCCCTCATCAACGTCTGCGACCGGCACAACTTGTTTGGCGAGCTCGCGACGGCGCTGCTCGCGCGGTGCTTCGCCGCCGCGACTCGTCCTCCTCCCTCCCGCCGCGTGCCGCGCTCAGCCGGAGGGAGTCGTGTCTGCAGGCGGCAGCTGAGGCACCTGATGCTGTACGTGCGGAGCGTCAACCGAGCCGCGTCGGCGCCGGTCTGCGCCGCGCTGCTTGAGGCCGGGTGCGAGGCGGCCAGGGTGGCAGAGGTGGTCGCCCCGCTGCACGCGCCGAGCGCTCCCGCGGTGCTCGGGTCGATGCTCGACGCAGAGTGCCAAAATGACGTCGTCGCTTCGCTGCTCGAGCCGCTCGACGGTGCAGAGAGAGGGAGAGGGAGAGGGAGAGGGAGAGGGAGAGGGAGAGGGAGAGGGAGAGGGGGAGAGGGGGAGAAGGGGGGGGGGGGGGGGGGCTGCTGGATGGTGTGAGATGCCGGTACGCTGCGGAGGTGAGCTGCCAGAGGGGTGAGCTGGTCTCAGCCTCAGGGGGCCGTCGTGGGGCACATACATGGCCCGGGAGCTTACGAGTGTCTTCGTCGCTGTGTGCCCCGCCGTGTATGGAGTATGCGTGTATAAAGGTTTTAATAAGCCGATAGCGGTCCTGTGTAGGGGTGTATAGAGAGCAGTCGGAGTCCGGGGGTAGGAAGCCGGCGATGCGGGTCTCACGGGTCAGCGGTCAGCGCGCGCGAGAGCGGTGTCGCAAGCCATGCACCGACAGACCAGACACACGCCAAAAACTCCGAACACCGAAATCGCCATGTCATTTTCTCCAGGCACTTTTGTTGCCATAGCTTTGTGCACTGCTCGACCGCCTATCCCGGCGTGCTAGAACCCAATCGTCTAGACCTCGCCTCCTCTGTTCTCGGGCCGCAGAATGCTGTCCAGTGGCATCCCGTGCTCGTCCAACCCGCTGCCGGTGCCGTGCTGCCGCTGCTGCGCCCTCGCCACCGTGGTTGACGACCGGATTTTTTTCTGGCCCGGCCGGCGGTACTCGCCGGGCAGCAGAGGGCCAGCCTCGCGCACAAAGCCCCGCGACGCGCCCTCTGGCGCCGCCCGCTCGCGCTTCTTGCCGGAGGACGGCCTTGCAAACAGAGACGGGTCGAGCGTGCTCAGCCGCCAGTGCGGCACTCCCCGCGCCTTCCACAGGCGCGCGGCTCGCTCCTCGGGCGTGCCGCCGCACTTCATCCCCCGCCGCTGCAGCTCCGCCTTGAGCACGTCGAGGTCCGCACTGCAGAGCGCCGCCTCGCTCTCGAACGCCATCAAGTCCAGCGGCGCGGCAGCAGCGGCGGCGCCCGCAGACCGCCGGAAGGCCGGCTCGCCGGCCGAGGTGGTGGCGCGAAGCCCAGCAAAGTCGCCCAGTGGTGGCGCTGCCGCCGCGCCCGAAGCGCCGGCGGGAGCGCTGTCGTCGCTCGCGGTTGGAGCAGCTCTGCCCATGCTCGATCCGGCGGCCCTGCCCTCAAGGGATGCCATCGCATCGACGCCGGCGTCGCCGCGTCCGGGCGCGCGTCCCGCTGCCTCCGCCTGGGGCAGGCCGAGGAGTCTGGCGGCCATATTTCGGAATCACAAGCCCTGCTGCGGGCGGTGGGGCGGCGAGGCGGCGGCGCGTGGGGAATTTCTTTTTGTGATGAGGTTATTGTAGTTTTTTCCTCGCCCTTGTTGTCTCCCGCCCCCGCTCTGGTCCGGCAATCTGCCCTCTAGCGCAGAGGGACAATGTTCTCCGCCGCTGATAGCTGGGAGCTCGAGAGCTCCACGGCCGCGCCCCTCCTCATTTCCGAGCCGCAGGACTTTGTCCTCGGCCGGAACGCAGACTGCCTGAAGCTCCTCCCCGCACTCGACCAACGAGTGTCCGACGAGGGCAAGTCCGTTTCGCGCCGGCAAGCGACACTGCGCCTTGCTGCCGACGCGAGCGAGCTCATACTGACTTCGCAGAGCAAGAGCAACCGCACTGGCGTGCGGCGCGGAGCCTCCTCCGAGTGGAACTGGCTGCGACAGAATGAGAGCTGCGTCGTCTCCGATGGCGACGCAATCGCCCTGGCAGAGCCGAAGAGCTCCGCCTCCGCTCCGACTCTGATCCTCACCCTCCGCAACGTGCTCGCGGCTGCGACGCAAGTGTACTCGGACAACCCGGACGCGTCGCCCGAACGGGCGGCAGCACCCTCGCCAAAGCGCCAGCGCCAGAGCTGCTCTGGCGTCGGCCGCAATGCCGGCGATGGCGGCGGCAGCGGCGGCGGCGGCGGCGGCGGCGGAGGTGGTGGTGGCGGCGGCGATGGCGGCTGCAGCGGTGGTGGCGGCGGCGGTTGCGGCGGCGGCGGCGGTGGCGGCGGCGGTGGCGGTTGCGGCGGCGGCAGTGCGGCGGCGGCGCCATCCCCGGCGGCGGCGCCCTCCCCAGCGGCGCCCTCCCCAGCCGCGCCGTCCCGGGCGGCGCCGTCCCCAGCGGCGCCCTCCCCGGCGGCGGCTGCCTCCGAGTCGGCTCGGCCTCGGGCGGGCGTCTTCGCCACCGCCAAGATGATGACGAGCGAGGCGCCGACCTTCCTCCGCTGCCCCTTCTCGGAGAAGGAGGCCGCAAAGGAGCGCGGCGCAAAGTGGGACCGCGCGCGCAAGGCGTGGTTCGTCCCTGCCGGCACGCCGCTTGCCCCCTTCGCGGAGTGGCTTCCGGCCGGCGGCGCCGCCGCGCCTCCGCCGCGCTCTGCCTGCGCCGCCGCCTCGCCCGCCTCCTCCTCCGCCTCGCCACTGCCGCGCACCGCGCCGAGGGCTGCGCCGCCCGACTTTGCGGTGATCCTCGAGGTCGAGGAGGACGACGAGGCGCTGCACTCTGCCCTCGCCGCGATGGAGGCCGCTTGCGACCCGAGGGTGCACGCGCACTGCTTCCAGCAGGCCGGCACGCGCCACCTCACCCTCTACACGCTCAAGGGCGTCCCGCGCGCGACCGCGGAGAGGATCCGCTTCGGCGCCGCCGCGCCGCCGCCCGCGCTGCCGCTGCGCGTGCGCTTCTCGCGGCCGCACGAGTGGGCCAACGCCCTCGCCTTTGCGGTGGACGCGGAGAGCGAGGTCCGGCTGCGGCAGGCGATCGCCGCGTGCGCCTCCGGGCTCGAGGGGCTGCCTCCGCGCGGCAAGGCGGGCGCCAAGCCGTGGACGCAGCGGTACGGCCACGCATACGAGGCGGGCAATTAATTAGTTCATTAATAATTAATTAATTAATAATTAGGTACGGCCACGCATACGAGGCGGGCGAGCTGCACCTGACCCTCTACCGCGTGCGCGACGCCTGCGCGGCCCTCGGCAAGGCGAAGCCCGCCGTGCTCGACGAGTTCGAGCGCGCGCGGCGGGCGGTCGCCGGCGCCTCGCTGGGCTCCGTCAAGGGGGTGCGCATCTCGATCAAGGAGGTCGGAGGGCCGTACGACGCGTGCCGCCCGCTCGCGGGCTCGCTCGCCCCGGGCTGACGGATGCCTGCATTGTTGCATGGACGCTGGAGTGACGCGCGGTGGGGCGCAACGCTACGTGAGGAGGAGCGGGGTTCCCGCGAGCGCTGTACTGCAGTTACCGCGACTGTTTTGTGTATGGCACCCCGACCGGGGCGGCCGAAGCGAGGGGGAGAGGGCGAGCCGGCGCGAAGCAGAACGGTGCGTGTTCTCCGACCGCTGGTGTGAGTCCGCGTCTGTCACATGGGCATGCTCTCATCACACATGAGCAGCTCCATGCGCGACTGTGCGGCCGAGCGCGCGCGAGAGAGCCGAGACACTCTATGTCTATCTGATCTGTCTGTGTCAGACACACCGCTAGCGCTACGAAAAACGCCAAAAACCGCGTCAGTACCACCGTTGGTCCCGTAGCGCGTAGTCTACACACCATGATCTACACCCGCCCTCAGGCTCAGCTGGAACTGAGTCAGCTCACACTCACATCTCGAGCTCGAACCCTTCCCGCCCGCTCACCGCATCTCGAATCACTCTCTCTCCCTCGTCGCCCAAGTTGTTGTAGTTGATGATGAGGGTTTTCAGCACCGCGTTGACCTCGAGAGCGGAGGCCAGCGCGGTGGCGCCCTCGTCGCCGATCTCGTTGTCGCCGACGTTAAGACTTTACAGCACCCCGTTGACGCGAAGAGCGGATGCCAGCGCCTTGGCGCCCTCGTCGCCGATGCTGTTGGAAAAGAGGTCCAGGTTGGTCAGCACCCCATTGACCGCGAGCGCCTCGGCGATCGCAGCGGCGTCATCGTCGCCGATGTTGTTGCCGCCGAGGCCGAGTGTTTTCAGCACCCCGTTGACGCGCAGCGCCTCGGCGATCGCAGTGGCGCCCTCGTCGCGGATGTTATTTACATTGAGGTTGAGGTTGGTCAGCACCGCGTTGCACGCAAAACCAATCAGTGACGCGATCACGATGGCCGAGGCGGGTCCGAGTTTCTTGTACGAGAGTTTGAGGGATGTCACCGGGTTGGTGCCGCGCAGCTGTGGCAGGTCGAGCTCGTGGCTGTCGAGATTCAGCTTGGCCAACACCGCGTTACCGCGCAGCGCCTCGGCGATCGCAGCGGCGCCCTCGCCGCGGATCTGGTTGTAGCCGAGGTTGAGGGTGGTCAGCACCTCATTGACCTTGAGGGCCTCTGCGATTGCTGTGATACCGGCGACCGAGTAGGTACCTCGGCCACGGTAGTCGATGCCGCACAGCTGGTTGCTGGCGAGCTGTAGCTCGGTCAGCACCTCATTGCCCGCAATCAGGGACGCGATCACGATGGCCGAGGCGGGTCCGAGCTCGAGGCCCTTCCTTGAGAGGTCGAGGGACTCGACCGGGTCGGTGCCGCGCAGCTTCGGCAAATCGAGCTCGTGGCCGTCGAGAATCAGCTGGGTCAGCACCTCGTTGACGCGAAGCGCCTCGGCGATCGCGGTCGCGCCAGTTGGCCCGATCTTGTTGTCGCCCACGTCCAAGGACGTCAACACCTCGTTGCCTCGCAGAGCCTCGGCGATCGCAGCGGCGCCGGCGGCGCTGATGCGATTGAAGGGGAGGCTGAGGCTTTTCAGCACGTTGTTGACCGCGAGAGCACTGCCGATCGCCTTGGCACTCTCGTCGCCAATGTTGCAGCCGGCGAGGTTTAAGTTGGTCTGCACCTCATTGCGCTCGAGGGCGCCTGTTATCTTAGCTCCCACTCGGCCGACGATTTTGGATGCTGCATCCCGCCACTTCTCGTTTGTAACCGACACAGCGTTTGCCACCAGCGGGGCGGCGAGGTCCTTGAAGCGGCTGCTGCATCTTCCGAGGGCGACCGCGGAAGCTAGTTCAGACTCGGCCAGCCGACTGACGATCATCCTCAACAGATCGTCATTGAGATCCGCGAGGCAAGCAGGTGGTTGGACGGCGGCCATAAGCTAAAGCAGAGCGTCGTGCCGCCGCGTCCTCAATCAAATTGCGGCTTTGCGCCTCATAATTTCCAGTGGGTGTAGCTCTTACGAACATACCCGTAGGTGAACTGCTGACAGGGTTTGCGATGAGGAGCGATCCGATTTCAGGGGAGATGCTCTTCCCTTTTTTAAAGCTTTTTTATTTTTCGACGAAGCAGAAAATATCGATGTTGAAACTCCTCCTGCTCCTCGTCGGCGCGAGCAGCGGCGTGGCACTACTCGTCAGCCCGCGTCCGGCTCACATATCACGACCGATAGCAATGCGCTTGGCGCGGCCGACTGCGCTGGAGCCAGATCCGCCTCCTCCAGAGACGGAGAAGCAGCAGCTGAACGATGCTCAATTTGGTGTCCTCGAGCGAGCGCAGGACCCGTTCCGGCTGATCCGCCTCGTTGTGTATGGCATCTTCGGTGTGGTGAGCGTTGCGGGCATCAGCATCGCCGTGTACGACCTTGGGAAGGACCCAGGTGCTTTTACAGCAGTGCACGACTAGACACTTGCTCGATGGAGGCAGCACACCCGTAGACACACACGGCGACACACCCACGACATACGCTCGCCGGCGCCCTCCCAGGCACCGCGCTAGTCAATCTCGGCACCAACGTCGTCCTCGGCGGCGCGGTCGGGGCGGCCTTTTACTTTGACAAGAGTGCGCTCGGCCCTCCCAGCCTCAGCGCCCCCAGCGCCACCCTCGCCTCCCCGTCCATCCCCCCACCATCATCACCTCCTCCCTCCACCACCCTCTCCCCCTCTCCTCCGTGCCCGCGTGACCAGCCCGCAGTCTTGTCACGGTGCTCCCGGCCCGCGCGCCAGACCGCTCCTCGTCCCCTCCTGCCCGCAGCCGTCGTGCAGGAGAAGATCAAGGACAACACGCGCAAGGAGGTGGACGACCCGATGCTCAAGGGCGACTCGGAGTTCTTCTTTGCGGAGAAGGCGAAGGATCCTGGCGAGTGAGCACGCACGCCTTCGCCTGGACTGCCCCCCCACTAGTTCTACTCGTTGTGCACTGCGGCGCCCATACGGCTTTAACACGCCGGCGTACGCAGGTCGCCTCGATAGTGCGGCGCCCACCCACGCAGCTGACCCACGGGGGCTTTTTAGACACTCTCAGCTGCGAGAGCGTGAGCGAGAGCGAGTCAGATGCTAGCCGTACGGGAAAGAGAAGAAGAAGTAGTAGAAGAGATTATGAGAGATCCATCCATGCGAGGGCGGGCGCTCGTTAAAAATCTCGTAGTCGTACCACGTACGCGTTTTCTCCAGCATCGTTGCGAAAATAGAAAGTTCTTCTCCCCCCGTGCGTGCGCTGCCGCACGATGGGGTGCGCGGCTGCTCTGCCCGGCGGGGTGCAGGGTGCAGAGCCGCCTCTCCGCTGGCGTGCAGGTCGGGATGGGTCTAGTGGTGGGTTGTGAGGGGGCGAGAGGGCGAGAGGCGCGCGGCGCAAGGACCACATTTCTGACTCCCACTCGCACTCCGATCATTTGCCTCCAAGTCATGTCGTTGCTCAGGTCCACTCTCTCTTCGAACACTTGTACCTCAACGGTCGGTGTTGGCACTGGGGTCCCCTTCGGGTATATCGTGACAGCTGATGGCGGGATTACCACTGGTGTTTCGTCCTCCTCGGAGTCGTCTTCCCCGGCTTCCTCTCGTTCGGCTCTACGTTCAGTACGTTCATCGTGGCTCACCCTCCATGCCGTGAACAGGCGCCCTATCCATCCTATGTTCTTCTCTCGCTCCTCTGCCCGTGCCTTGGTCTTGTCGTTATTTCGCACCCATGTCTGCGGGAGTATCTCTTAAGTGCCGAAGAGGCGCTGGCGGATCTTCCAGCCCCTTTCGGCACCGCAGCGCGGTCCTACGGCCGATGGCGGCCGCCCCGATGGCCCAGCTGGCCAGGCCGGGTCGGCTGCATGTCCAGCTGGCCGTGGGGGTCATTGTTGGGTCATTGTGTCTCGTTTGAACACGGTTTTTTGGCCGACGGCAGAAGATCCTCTGGAGGATCTTCTGCCGGGAACCAATATCAGAGCTCTGAACGGCTGATCTGAGAGCCCCCCAGTACAGTAGGGATTGATTATGATCAGATCCATCACTCACTGGCCGGGGTTGAGCTCTTCTCGACGATAAGCCGCGTGCAGCGTGCCTGAAGTTCAGCCCCGCACGACGCACAGACGTGCCGGAGAGTGGGCTGCTAGCGCTCTGCGGGCAGCAAATGTCGCGCTTCTGGGCCACCACGCCGGTAATATGACCTAACCCGGTCAGTCTGAGGCTGCAGCCATGATGGTTGCGCTCCTCATGGTGTCGGTGGACCACTTCTCGGCTTGAGCTAGCGACGAGAATGATCAGCGTGAGGTGGACTCATGAGTGCCAAAACCAGCAGCTAGAAAAGGCTTGACGCCGACAGTCTCGAGGATGATCCTCTGGAGCTTCGGCCGAACTCCAGCAATGTCGGAGCGGATTGCAGCCAAAAGGGCAACGGAAGTGCCACCAGCGCCACTGACCTCGTCGGCCTTCTCGCGGTAGATGGCCCGCAGCGCGTCGTCGGAAAAGAAGGCCTTGAGAAGCGCCTCGGTGACAAGGTTGTCGATCCGCTTGATGACGCGTTGGGAGACGACGATCTCGGCCACAACCGCAGCCTGTCTCTCAGAGACCGTCTTGTGGACAGTTCCGACCTGCGCAAAATCATCGGCGGTGGGTGACTGACTGTCATCGGCGACGAACTCGAGCAAGTCGGCAAAGGCACGCGTCTTGAGCAGCTTCAGCTCGTAGCGCGCGCAGCGCACCGCATCGTGTTGGGTGCAGCAAACAGTGGGCGCAATGTTATCTATGTAGACAGCGCAATTCGTAGTGAGGAAGAAAGCGATGCCATCGCTGTGATGCAGTCGGCTCCACTCGAGAAGAGTGGCCAGGTTCGCCGCAAGCCCGTCGAGGGCGGCGGCACGGTCGAAACTGCATTCCGTCACCATTGCATCAGCTTCTTGTTTAGCGCCATGTAGGAGATCCCGAATTTCGGAAGACTCCAAGGCTTTGGTGGGCGTGTCAGGCATGGCCTGAGCAGTGGATAGCGTGTCAGGCTTCACAAAGGGGCTGACGCGACCAGTCGAGTCGCTGCCACGTGCAAGCCCCACCCGGGCGGCGGGTGGACCAAGGGGCGTTCCGCCCTGCTTGCTCTAGGTGAAACGTCTGAAGGACGAAGAAAGCCCAACTCAGCACGACGGGCGGAGAAGACGGGCACTAGACCAGGAAGGACTGGGAGAGTGTGAATGGAGGGACACGTGTGGTTCAGACGAGAGGCACACGCCAGAGCCCCGGCGGGGGGGCCAGAGCCTTTCCGTATATGTGCGGCCGCACGCGCCAGAGCCTCTCCGCCGACGCCCTCGCGCGGCATGCGCCTACGTTGGGCGGCCGGACGACGCACTGGAAGCCGAGCGCGGCGGCGGCGCACTCGCCGCGGCAGAACGCGAGCCCCGGCTCGTCGCTCGCCGTCGTGGTGCAGGCGGGCGAAGCGGGACCGGCGCAGCACCTGTCCGTCATGCGGTGGGGGCTCGTCCCATCCACCAGCCCACTCGGCAGCAAGCCAGACTTCTGGCGGATGTTCAATGCGCGGTGCGAGACGGTCGACTCGCTCGCGTCCTTCCGGCGGCTGCTCGGCCGCCGCCGCTGCGCCGTGCCGCTGAGCGGCTGGTACGAGTGGACGGACGACGAGTTCAAGGAGGTCAAGACGAAGCAGCCATACTACGTCGGCCGCGAGGGCGAGGCCGAGGCGCCGCTCTGGGCCGCGGGTCTGTGGGACAGCTGGGAGGGCACCGAGGGGTGAGCGGCTTCTACGCCCGGGTGCCTCGCAGAGACCCATCGCCAACCCTCCCCGCGCCCCGCGCCCTCAGGGCGGTCGAGTCGTTCACGATTATGACGCGCGACGCGGCGCCGCGCCTGGCTGCACGAGCCGCAGCCGCCACACGTCCATGACACGTCCCTGGCGCGTCCGATAGGCGCCCGACCTCGCCTGGCTGCACGACCGGCAGCCGGTGCTGCTCGACGCTGAGGGCCTCGCGGCGTGGGTCGGAGAGGCGGCAGAGGCAGACGCTCTCGCGGAGATGCGGCGGTGCGCGCGGCTCGGCGCCGGCGGGCTGCGGTGCCACCCCGTCTCGAAGAAGATGTCCAAGGCCGGCTGCCGCGGAGGCGGAGGCCGCGTCCGCCATCCGACCTGCTGAGCTCACGGCTGCTGCTGTGAGTAGGCCTCGTACCAGGAGGAGGACGCGTGCGCTCGCGTCACGCTCGCATCGAGGCAGCAGCGCTCGGTCGCCGCATTCTTCGGAGCGAAGGCCGCCCCGTCCCCGGCAGCCAAGGAGGAGGCACCGGGAGGCAAGGAGCTTGCGGCGGCGGCGGCGGCGGCGGCGGGGAAGCAGCCCGCCGCAACCGGCCACAAGCGCGCGTCGCCGGCAAGGGAGACGAAGCGGCCCGCCCCGGGAAGCATCCAGAGCTTCTTCAAGCGGCCTAAGCCTGGCTGACTTGATTTCTTTGCGTAAAACGTGAGAAAGTGCGGACTGGCTCGTGCTGGCACTAATTTAAAGAATTTTAGAACCAAGGTAGGAAGGAAGGTAGGAAGGTGAAGAACAGCCAGGCTCGGACTGGACACCAACGCGGTATGGGAAAACAAAGCTCTTGAAGAAAGAAAAACGATGAAAAGAAGAAAACGAATCCGAGAGGTGTATCGCCGCCAGGCCTTGCCGCGACGCAGCCCCACGAGCGTCACGAGCGTCGTTGTAGCCCCACTGAAACATCGACAGCCAGGCAAGCATGGTCATCGAGTCCTGCGCCTACCGCGTCGCCATCCTTGGCGCGGGCGTGGCCGGCAGCACCTGCGCCGCCAGCTTACTCCGGATGCCAGGCATCGCAGCTGTGGTCTACGACATGGGCGGCCGCGGGCCTGGCGGCCGGACCTGCTCACGCCCGGTCGACGGTCAGGGAGGCAGCTTCTCGCCTGCCGATCGCGGCGGGCGGTCGTCGCTGTCGGAAGCGCACGCGGACAAGGACCTCACCTTTGACCACGGCGCGCAGGCGTTCACCGTCTCGCATCCCGAGGTGCGGGCGCTGACAGAGGCGTGGGAGAGGGCCGGTTTGTGGGTCGCTGGGAAGGGACGTTTGGCAAGTTGGACGCGAGTACCGGCGCCTTTGTCGCTGGCGTGGCCGCCGCCGACAGCGACGACACCGTCTTTGGTCTGCTCGGCGGCTCTGGCGCCTCCGCAGCAGATCGCTTCGTCGGAGTGCCGTCGATGGGGGCGCTCGCACGTGGCATCCTCTCGGACGCTGCCGCCTCTCCGGCAGCCGGCTCGACGCTGACGTCTCTCTTTGGCGCCAAGGCGACGGGCGTGACCTACTCTGGAGAGGGCGAGGGACCGGCCGGTGCGCGCTGGACCGTCAAGTCGTCTGACGGCGTCAGCCGCCACTTTGACGCCGTCGTCACCGCGGGACACGCTGCGTCGTTTGCGGCGCAGGCGGCGGCCAGCCTGCCAGGAGGCGGCGGCAGCGGCGGCAGCGTGAGCGTCGACGCGCTGCGCGGCGTCTCGTACCCTGCCGGCTGCAGCCCGCTCTACTCGCTCCTCGTCGCCTTTGAATCGCCGCTCGGCGACGCGGCGCCATTCGACGGAGCGGGCGTCGCGTCCTCGGACGATCTGCGGTGGATCTCGCGTGACTCGTCAAAGCCGTCGCGGCAGCGGTCCGACGGGCTCGATCTCTGGGTGGCTCTGTCGACAGAGGGCTTCGCGCGGCGCGTCGAGGAGCAGGCGGCGGCGGAGGCTGCAGAGGCGCAGGCGGGCGCAGAGGCTGCGGCGCCGAGGGCGCAGGGCGGCTCACGGCCGACTGAGGCGCAGCTGCAGCGCGTGGCTGCCCAGCTGCTCGAGGCGCTGCGCGGCGCGCTGCACGCGCCGCTGCCGCCCGTGGCGTACGTCCACGCGCAGCGTTGGCAGGCGGGGATCACGCGCGCGCCGCTCGGGCTGGAGCCGCCGTGCGCCAGCTGGGAGGAGTACGGCCTCTTCGCGTGCGGCGACTGGGCGGCCAAGGAGGCGAAGGTCGAGGAGGCTGCCCTCTCCGGTTTGGCGGCCGCGCAGGCGGTTGGCCGCGCGCACGACGCGTCGCAGCGCATGCGTAGCCTCCTCTCGACAGCGCCGCCGCCAGGCGGGCCCGACGCGGCGGCCGCTCTCGAGGAGCGCGCGCGCGCGAGCTGGGGCGAGTGGAGGTGCGCCGCCTACTCGCCCGAGACGCCAGCCGGCCAGTTTCGCGAGAGCAGGTGGTGGGACGCCCCCGGCCGTGAGGCGGCCGCTGAGGAGCGGTGCCTCGTCACCGCCGGCCGCGCGACGCTTTGGCCAGAGGGTGGCGGGCCGCCGGTCGAGATTGCAAAGGGGGACTGGGTCACCTTCCGCCGCGGCTTCCAATGCACGTGGGTCGTCAACGAGGACATCGCCAAGCGATACGCCTACTTTGACGCCGAGGGCGCGGAGCTCGCGTGCGAGTGAGCTCGGTTTGTCTCTCCCGCCCTTAGGTCTGTAAAGTAGGTCTAGCCTAGCGCCCGTGCGGCACTCTACGGCTCTGATTCGTGATTGGCGTTTCTTTCGTCGTACGCGGCGTTTTTGTCCGGCGTGCGCGGGCGGTCGCTTCAGCCTTCAGCTTCACACCGTCTGCGGTCTGGAGACCGTCTGGTGCTCTCTGCCGAGAGTCTCTGGTCTGAGGTCTCGTCTCGGTCTCGTTCTGTGTGGACTTCAAAAGTGGTTGTCAAGTCTTCCTCTCTACTCTCGTTTTTGAAACAAAATAGACCTCCAAATCTACAGAGGAATAACGGCGCGCGACTACCTTCTACCAGACCATCTCAGTGACTCAGTCCGTGCATATACCATATTATTAGAAGACGCGGCGTTCGGCTCATCGGTGTGCGGTACCTCATTCACATCTTGGCCAAAGTACAGGTTTCGATCCGGGCCACCGCAAATTTTGATCAGCAAATTTCGAGGGGCGGCCGCAAATTTTGAGGTAGATTTTGATTGTCAAAACGTGTCCGTCTTGGCACAGGATAGAGCATATAGGCGGCGAACACCCAGGTGCGCAGGGACATCGCGACGCTCTCTGCCCGCTCGCTCGACCCTTTTGCCGCGAGAGGGCGCCGCGGCCGCGTGTAAGAGGTGGCTGGCGCCCTGAGGCGGCAATTGGTGGCGTGGGGGGTGAGGAACGCTACTGGCGGCGTGACAGGGCCTCTCTCGGCTGCGTGTGCCGCCCATCGGCACGCGGGTGCGCAGACATCGCGACTCTCCCGCTCGCTCGACCCTTTTGCCGCGAGAGGGCGCCGGCCGCGTGTAAGAGGTGGCTGGCGCCCTGAGGCGGCAAATGGTGGCGTGGGGAGTGCGGAACGCTACTGGCGGCGCGACAGGGCCTCTCTCGGCTGCGTGTGCCGCCCATCGGCACACGGGTGCGCAGACATCGCGACTCTGCCCGCTCGCTCGACCCTTTTGCCGCGAGTCAGAGGGCGCCGGCCGCGTGTAAGAGGTGGCTGGCGCCCTGAGGCGGCATTTGGTGGGGTCAGCGTGCGGTGCTGAGTCTTACTCGTCGGCGCTGGGGCCAGATCCCAGCGCAGAACTCTGCAACGCTGGCATATACAAACACAACAAGACTAACCCTGACCCTAACCCTAACCCTAACCCTAACCCTAGCCCTCTAACCCTAATAACCCTAACCTAACCCACCCCCCAACTCCACACCGCAAATTTGAAAGATCTTGATGAAAATCAGGCCCGACTGCAAATTTCTTCAAAATTTTCGCAGGCGCTCCGCGCCTGCAGATTTTGAAATAAATTCGACAAAAGTGGTACCTGGCCCAATTCACATCGGCATATCATCCACCTCTCCCCCGCTGGCCGCGGAGTGGCACTTTCCGTCGGCGCTGCACGCTTTTAGCTCCATGGTCTCAAAGCAGTCCTCGTCTGCAGGCGCGCACAGCGAGCAAGAGTCGCCCTCGCTCTTGCCGCGACAAGGCTTGTAGGGCAACTTAGCCGCAGCCGCAGCCATCCGCTCGCGCAGCGAATCTTGGCCGATCTCGGCGGCAGCGTCCATCGCCGATGAGCCGCGCTCGTTGAGGATCGTTGGGTCGGCGCCGGCTTCGAGCAGCAGCTCCACCATCGCCGCGTGTCCATGGTAAACCGCCCAGTGGAGGGGCGTCATCTGCAGCGTGGAGCCGCGAGGCGTCCTCGCATTCACGTCGGCGCCACCGTTGATGAGCGCGCGCACCGTGGCCTCGTCACCCTTGATGCCGGCGACGTGCAGCGCAGTCTCGCCGTCCGCACTCCGCTCGCTCGTGCCGTGCCCTGCGTCCAGCAGCTCGTGGACCCGTGCCGCGTCGCCCTCGCCCGCCGCGTAGATCAGCGGCCAGCGCTCGCGGTCGGCTGCCTCGTCAGCGGCAGCGACAGCGGTAAATAGCAGCAGCCAGCGGGCAGGCATCGTAACGCAAGCTGCTGGACGCCTCGTTGGCGACGAATAGCGTTGGCGACGATAGCGTTGGCGAGAAAAGTGAGGAACGCCACACACGCGGGTTCGAGAATAAATAAATAAATAAATACAACGCACACCCCAAACGAGGGGTGGGAGAAGGACAGGGTCCCCACCTGCACAAGCAGGATCTTGTAGGACGATCAGGGACACAGGGGAACGGGAGCGGGGAGCGCATCGCGACACGGAGGGGGGCTGGGCAGGGGGTTCACCCTCACGACAGGAATCCCATCTCTCGTATAGGACAGGTTGCACCCGGCGGCACGGGGGCAAGCGCGGGCCTCCTACTGGTTGCGCTCTCCTAGTTCTCCTGCTCCTGACAAGGGACAGCGACAGGCTCGCAGCACGGTGGACTCCCTATCCACTGGCGATCTCTCTCGACTAGCGACCTTCCTCCGACGTCTCACCGGCAGTCTCTTCTACCACAGGCAGACTGACACGTGGGTGGCAGTGGCGGTGATAGGAGTCTCCCACTCTGTGGGCCTCGCTAGAAGTGCGACCCCTGCGCGTGTCCTCGCCCTTGAGGAAGGGGAAGGGGCTGTGTGTCTGTGCATGTGTACAACATGTGTGTGTGTGTGTGTGTGTGTGTGTGTGTGTGTGTGTGTGTGTGTGTGTGTGTGTGCTCGCTCGCTCGCTCGCTCGCTCGCTCCCTCGCTCGATCGCGCGCGCGCTGCGCGAGCCGCCCTGCCCGCTGCGCTGCTAGGGTTGCGCTGCGGGAAGGGCTCGGCGGCCGTTCCTAGAAATCCTCGTCGCTCCCCTCGTAGAGGGAGGGCTCGTTGGACTCGAGGAGTGGGCCGCCGTCGGAGGAGGAGCGGGCGGCTCCGCGGGCGACGCTCGCCCAGTTCTTCTTGTTGCTCTTGACCTCGCCGCCGCCGCCGCCGCCGCCGCGGCCGCCGCGCCCGCGCCGCCCGCGGCTTGTGCCCAGCCTGACCGCGCTCGGCATGCGCTCGTAGATAGTGTCCTTGAAGGCGGAGTGGAGGAGCGCCTCGAAGTTGACGCACGGCGCGTAGCGGCAGCGAGCGGCGGTCTTGCACGGGATGGCGGTCTGGTTGAAGGCCGGGCAGAAGCCGATCCCGTCGCGCACCGCCATCGCCTTGGCCTTGCCCGCCGCGCGCGCGACCTCGACCCTGTTGTCGACGATGAGGCTCTCGAAGGTCTTCTTCTTGGCGACGTTCGCCGCTGCGGCGCGCCTCTCCTTGAGCGCCTGCGCGCCGCACTGCGCGTCGTGGATGATGTCGGCGCTCGTCGTCGCAAAGGCGCGGCACGATGGGCAAAGCTTGTTCCCGAGCACCTTCACACTCCCGACGTCGAGGCGGAGGGGTCCGCCGACATCGCCGCTCGCGTAGACGTTGGGCAGGACAGGGAGGTTGCAGACGAGGTTCTCGTTCTTCACCTTGAAGAGGATCGAGCCGTCCTTCTCGTCCGACTTCGTGCCGAGGAAGGAGTGGTATCCCTCCTGGATGGAGACCACGTTGCCGAAGTGCTTCTCCAAGAGGGGGGCGAAGTGCTCGATCTGGGCCGCGGTGTTGATGGCGCCGCGCGTGCGTATGGCGAGGAGGCCGTCGGAGTCGATGGTCGCCTGGGTCTCGCGCGCCTCCGCCTGCTTGCCCCACACGGTGGCGTCGAGAGCGGCGAAGGTGATGGTGATGTTGTCTGGCGCTGGGAGCTGTAGGACGCTACCGCCGGCGTACTGCTCGAGGAAGGCACGTGCCTCGCTCTCGCCGCTGAAGGCGACGCAGATGGCGCGCGACGTGCCGATGACGGGCACGCTGATCGCGCTCGCCGGCTGCGCCTCGCAGCCTGGCGTCTTCCTCAGAAGCTGTCGAATCTCGGTGACGAGCGCCGTCGTGTTCTGGATGTCCGGGATGTGCGAGCCGTCGCGCGCCGCGAGCGCGACGTGCAGCAGGCGCTTCGTGCCGCGGTCGGTGCCGGCGGCCGCCGCAGCGGCCATCTGTGCGGCGTCCACCATAATGGTGTCGCCTTCTTTGGCGTCGTCGTCGTTGACGCGCGCGCTCGCGAGCTCGCCGTCGAGGCGGCGCTTCACGCCGAGTCTCTGGCCATCATCGGCCTCTTGCGCGCCGTCGCGGCCGCGCGCCGCGCCCTCGGCAGCGGCAGCGTTGAGCGCCGGCGGCGGCAGGCCGGCCGAAGCGAACGCCATTCAAGTGAAGCGCCGTTCGAGACCTTGAGAAGGGGAAGCGCGTCAGTTTCTTCATTTCATCATGGTCGCCACATTTCTTTCCTTTAACAAGGCGATCGATGCGTACTGCAACTAGAGTAGTCATCACAGGGGCCTTCTGGCGACCGTCTGAGTGGTGCTTCCTGCGATCCCCAAACCGCCAGGGCAGAACAAGCTTAGCTCGGCTTGTGGCTGGGAGACAGGGACGGCGCCGAAAGGAGTGCGGGTGAGCGATCGGCGGTTGAAGCGAGGCTGCGCGAAAAGGGGGCCGAGCTACGACGGTCATCGCGAGGCCCTCGGGTCGGCGGCGGCAGGGACGTCCTCGAATCTTGGCGTGCCCTCGAGGCCGTCCGGCAGCGGCTCCGGCGTCTGGCTTCGAGAGATGTGCTCCGGCTGCGGCGTTAGCACTGCGAGGCGAGCGGGGAGCGGGGCGTGGATGGGCGGGCGGCGGCGGTGTCAGCAGTGGCGAATCGCAGTGGGTCACGCACCAAAGTTGCCAGAGTCGTCGTCGCGCACCGTCTGCGCCACGTTATGCCGCAGGAAGGCGGCCGCGTCCCTCGCGTCCTGCACCTTGCTGGCGACCTCGCTCTCCCGCACGTCCGCGTTGAGAGCAAACTGCTCGCGCGTCTCTGTGATCGCCGCGGCGCGCGCCCGCGCGTCCTCGCCAAAGAGCTGGCGCTGCGCCCGAAGCAGCTCGCGGTAGGCGCGCGACGCGTCCGACGCGAACGCTCTCACGGGGATCGCGAGCGGTTTGCGGCGGCACGCGGAGAGCATACCACGTTAGCGCGGCAGGGCCGGCGGCCCCGCGGTTGTTTTTTTATTTTTTCATAACTTGCAGGTGAGAAGATTTTTATCAATGTCACGCCGGGATTTCTTGCATGTGTCCCGCCTTCCCCCCACGGGAGGGGAGGCGTGGGGGGGCGGATTTCTAGGGGGGCGACGCAGGGCGAGTACTTGTACTTGTATAGTGCTCCACGTGCTTCGCGTCACTTGTGTAGCGCTCCCACGTGCTTCCCGCGCAACTAGGCCGACGGGGAGATACCTGCACGAGCTTTGCTTCCGCGTCGCTGCTGCCTCATGCGTGCGTTGGACAGCCTCGCTGACCTGAACTGAGCACTGAGCGGCCATGTCGGCGGCCCAGTGGTGTGGACTGCCGAGTCTCTGCCCTCCCGACTGCAAGCCGCTGGTGCTTCAGGTCGCCGCTCCGGCTGCGCGTTGCGCCCTCATCGCGTGGCGGCACGTGCCCAAGACCGGAGGCACCACCCTGCGGCACGCCTTTGAGCAGCTCGAGCTCTCGGCGCCATCTTGGAGCGCCATCGGGCGGGGAGAGCGGCCCGAGACGGTGCCTGGGCACTGCGGCCGTGCCAACATGGGGATAGGGCTGTGGGAAGTGCGAGGCTATGCACGCAGCGCCTTCCTGCGCTGCGCTCACACGGCGGGACGGAGCCGTGGCTGGAGCCTCGAGTACCACATCCCTGTCGACGGCTCGCGCGCGGTCCTGAACAACGTCATCGAGCTGCGTGCACACGCGCTGCCGCCGGACGCGCGCGCGGTGACTGTGATGGTCGTGCGTGAGCCGGTCGCGTGGTACCGGTCGCAGTGGCTCGCCACGAGCGGGAACCGGTACAGGCCTCGCCGCCGAGAGGGTCCGACCGAGTTTGCGACTCGACTCGGTCCGGATGCGCAGTGGCGGGAGCTGACGGACCTCGCTATGCCGCACGCGCCGGCCAGCGCCGCAGAGCAGCGTGTGGTGGCGCGAGTGCGCAGCGCGCGGCAGGGGGGGGGAGCCGCCGACGTGGAAGCGCTCCTCTCCCTCTTCGACGTGGTCGGAACCACCGAGCGACTCGCGGAGACGCTCCTCGTGACGTGCTTGCGCGCCGGGCTTGGCGCTTGCCCCACCCTGCCGCCGGCCGCCAACACGCACGACTCGCCGGCCGGCGCGCGAGCGCTGGCTTGGGCGGCGAACGGCAGCGACGCGAGCGCGAGGAGCCTGAGCAGCACCGACGCGGCGCTGCACCGCGCGGCGGGCAGGAGGCTGGCCTCCGACCTGAGGCAGCTCGCGGCTGACCTGCCGGGCGGCGGCGGCTGCGTGCGAGAGTACCTGGCGCTGCACCCGCGCCGCGGTGTGGCTGCGAGCCCAGCCGCGCCGGCGTGCCGCCCTCCCTTCTCGTGGTCGCCGGCGCGCCTCCCGGGCTGGCCAAAGATGGAGAACAGCACCCTCAGGCTCTGCCCTCTGGTGGCGGCCGGCCCCGAGCCGCGATGCTCTGCGACGGCGCACCTGCTGGCGAGAGGAGAGCAGGCGAGCACTCAGAATGGCGTGGGTGGCGCGTTGATTACAACATGACGGGGCACATATTGTTGGGAACCCCAATGCAGGGAAAATCAATATATACGCGTGTGTACGTTTATACCCTAAGTTTCTCCGAGACCTCGCGAGCGGGCAGTTATTCACAGCTGGGCAGTGTGGGTTTCACACCCGGGGCAGGTAGGGGATCGGACAGGGCAGTATTATGCGGGCAGGGCAGTATGTGTGGCAGGCGCCGCAGGGTTCCAGGGTAAGGGCACACGCGGCAGGGGCAGCGGGTCATATAATTGCAGGCTGAGAGATTTAAAACGAAGTCAGCGATCGGCTTTTCGGTTTTGTATTATACAGCCCCGTGACGCGTACACACACCTCCGCGCGGCCGCGCGGGTCAGCACATCGCAATCGAGATTCGTGGCAACTGCGGACGATTACCTAGAAGCTAGATATCTCTGGATCATCACGCCCACACCGGACGGAGAGGACGAGCAAGGCCAGCGCACGGCCACGGGCCAGACTCAACGCACGTACGCCCCGAAGCATGCAGCTCCTCGCGAGGGGCTGCGCAACGCCGGGGTGCATGAATGTACGCCGGGCAGTGGACACACGCATCCATGAAGAGAGGCCGCCCTCCGGAGGCCCTCACTGCGAGCCCCCGAATGCGTAGTAACAAAAGGTCGCCAGCGGGTGGGACTTGGACTGAGGCGGCTCCGAGGCGAGCGAGCGAGCAACCGGCTCGCTCGCCGCCTCCGCGTCGCCGGCGGTGCGCGTGTTCTTGGGCGGCCCGCCTCCGGCCGGCTTGTGGTAGTCGAGGAAGGCACCCACCACGATCGAGATGACGGCGACGGCGTGCTCCTCGCCCGGGCACTGCCGCGGCGCGGGGGGCTGCTCGTTCTCCCACCCCCGCCCAAAGGGCCCGTTCCACACCAGGTAGCGGTCGTGGTCCGCGCGGCCGGGCGCGAAGGCCATCGCGTCGTCGCCCCACTCCTTGGGGTCGAGGTGCGCGGTGTTGTAGTTCGCGACGACGATGCTCTCCGCCGGCAGCGTGACCGTGCCGTCGAGGAAGGGGCACTGCATCGGCTTGTCGAGCACCTGAGGGACCGGTTGAGGTGTGCATGGTTCGCCACCCTCGCTGATGGTGGCGTCACACTGCCGGGATGGGCCGAGCGCCTTGTGAGAGCCGGCGACGGGGCAGGTACGGGGAGATGTGGGGAGATGTGGGGAGATGTGGGGAGATGTGGGGAGATGTGGGGAGATGTGGGGAGATGGCACGCCTTGTGAGAGCCGGCGACGGGGCAGGCGAGGTACGGGGAGATGTGGGGAGATGTGGGGAGATGTGGGGAGATGTGGGGAGATGGCACGCCTTGTGCGAGCCGGCGACGGGGCAGGCGAGGCGGAGGGCCTGAGGGCGAGAGGCGTGGCTCGTCAAAGGAGAGAGGTGTGAGGAGGGGCGGGCGAGGCAGGGCGCCTCGATGACGAAGTCGGTCGGGCAAGCGCGGAAGAGGGCCGCCATCTCGTCGGCGTCCTCCGTCCACTGCGGGCTGTTTCCGAGCGCCTTTGGGAAGACGCCGCGCGGGAAGCGGAGCAGCTTGGCGAGGGTGTTGGAGCAGCCAGAGGTGGTGCCTGCCGCACGCGGGGGGGGGCGGGGGGGGCGGGGGGTGTTGAGGGGTGGTTGAGGGGGGGTTGAGGGGGGGGGGAGGAGGGGGGAGGAGTGGCGAGGAGGGGCGAGGAGGGGCGAGGAGGGGCGAGGAGGGGCGAGGAGGAGAGGAGGAGAGGAGGCGAGGAGGCGAGGGCGAGGATGAGTCAGCCCCCTCGCCTGCCGCCGCCGCGAGCAGCAGCGCCATGCAGACCGAGTCGAGCAGCTTGTCGACCTTTGGCTCCTCCCGCGAAGGCACGTCCGAGCTGCCGAGGCAGGAGCCGCACGTCGCCTCGCAGCAGCTCGCCCCGGAGCCGGAGGGGCGCACCTAAGGAGCAAGCTCCCGACACAGGCTCCCGACACGCGGCTCGAAGGTCGGCTCCAGGCTCCGGGCGGGACAGCCGGACGGCCGCGCACCCCGTTCACGTCGGCTGTCACCGACTCGACGCCCGGCACCTGTTAATTCACAGTTAATTCACAGTTAATTAACAGTTAATTAACACGCACCGACTCGACGCCCGGCACCGCGTCGGCGAAGGCACGCCAGTCGACCGGCCGGCCGGCGAGGGCCTCTGGCCTGGCGCTGTTGCAGTGCAGGTAGAGGAAGCGCTTGAGGGCGGAGGGGGCGAGCGTGCCCGCCGTCTGCAGCAGCGGCGGGTACGAGGGCGGCAAGAGCCAGTACAGCGCGCCGACGGTCGTGTAGATGGCGACCTGCGAGGTGGCGTCACGCGTCATCTCGCCCCATCTCGCCCCATCTCGCCCCATCTCGCCCCATCTCGCCCCATCTCGCCCCATCTCAGTCGCCTTGGTGATGAGGTCGTCCCACGCCTCCTTCGCCTCCCCCTCGAGCGCGGTCGGTCGCACGTCGAGCAGCAGCGAAGCGAGCGTCTCGAAGACGGGCTGCGCCATCCACCGCGAGCCAAGTGCCTGCTCACAGCTAGAGCTGTGAAGAGACGCTGATCACAGCTGCGCCATCCACGCAGCGAGCAAAGTGCCGCGGGCGGCTGGATCCCCCCCCACCCCGACGCCAGCCACGCGTTCAAGTGCGGCCTCGCCTCCTCGCGCGCGGCTCTGCCGCCGTCCTTGAGCTTGGCGACCACCGACGGCGCGCCTAGGGGCGACCAAGAGAGGGCTCGGGAGAGGCTCACTGAAGGCTCAGCACATCGCCCTGCATATTGCTCGCCCGTGATGTGCTCGCGGAAGGCTTTGCGCCAGGCGGTGTGGTACTCGGCGCCGGTGTGGAAAAAGAGCGGCAGGTTGGTCGCCTGCGGCAGCGTCGCCCCCTTGATCAGCCAGCCGTCGAGGCAGCCGGCGCGCTTGCGGTGCGGGTCAAGCGCTATCTCGCGAGCGAGGCCGTAGTCGCCGATGCGAACTGTGTCCCAGAGCATGAGGTTGCGCCCAAAGTTGGCGTCGAGGTACTCGCGCCTGGCCGGCAGCAGCGTGTCGGTCCACATGCGCTGCTCAAACCCCTGGAAGAGGAACTGGTACCCATTCATCGCCAGGTCATAGGTCAGCGACGGGATCCGCATCAGCAGCACACCAAGCAGCGAGTTGCGGAGCGGGCCGGTCAGGCACCACATGGCGAACCTCTGGAACAGCAGCGGGCCACAGCAGCAGCCGGAGAGCACGAGCACGACCCCGATGGGCCAGCAGATGAAGAGGAATGCTATCCACGACAGGACGGCGTCGAGTGAGCAGCTGCGAAGGTAGGGTGTCCCGAAGGCATGCGTCGCCGTCTGGCTGCCCGCGACAGCAAACTCCTCGCGCTTGCGGCTGATGTACTCTTGCCGCGGCTTCGCAAGGAGAGGGGCGTCGTCTTTGCCCGCATCCGGCATG